TGGGCCCCACACGTCCATGTGGAGAGTCTGCAGCGGAGCCTCTGTCGGAGGAAACTAGGAGGAGTGAGGAGCGGCGCGCTGCCGCCCCTCGATGCAGGGAACGCAGGTAGGGGCAGGCCCTGGGGGAAGGGGAGGGAGGGACCGGGGGAGACCAGAGACAAGGAGACGGGAGGCCATGCCTCGGAGACGAGGCAAGGAGGGGTGACCAAGGCGGTGGTGCCAGAGGAGGGTCTGGTGGGACAAGAGGCGACACGAGCAGGGGGCAGACTCAGGACCTGACCGAGACGCTGCAGCAAACACCTGACTCGACGCAGCTACCTGACCAGACGCAGCAACCGGTGGAGACTCTGTGGTCAGTGTGTACAGGCTCGACCCCGGTCGACGGGTAAACGTGGCCAAGTGGCGGCCCGTCTGAGCACACGTGCAGTGGGTCACTCGCTGACTTGCAGGAGTGAACTGGTCAACCCTGCCATCCTGAAGGTCAGCACCACTCACCAAGTTCGTTGAGAACGAGGGGAGGTAGAGACCGGACAGGGAGCCTGACGGGGCCGCCGGACACGGGAGGACAGTGGAGTAGTGGGCAAGGACAGAACCCCCAGAGGGGTCTGCCAGGGAGACCGCAACCGGCCGACTGAGCGGCGTAAGGGTGGTGCGGTCTCGAAAGAACGAGCGGGAAGCACCCGAGTCGAGGGTGAAGGTGTGCAAAACCTGAGCCGACGCGGTACCTGAGAGAGCAGACTCACTAACACCTGGAGCAGCAGACTCACTAGCACCTAGAGCAGCAGCCTCAATGCCCGGGTCAGGCGGAACACACACGTAACAGTCACCCTCAGCACTAATAGACACAGCATACATGGCAGCAAGAATAGCATCAAAGTCAAGATCAAAGATAGCTACACCCGACCTGAGCAGATCACCCCAACGAGGGATCTCAGTGGCGTCAGGGAACTGGGTACGCCAGGCATCTGTCAGGCGGCCGAAGCAGCGCTGGGTGGCGTGCAGGCCGCCACACTGCTCTCCAGTGCGGTCGCCGGTGCGCAGCACGTAGGCACAGGGACCAGCAGCCCCAGACCCCTGGCGCCCCGCGTACCACTCACAAAGCTGCTGGGGCGACGGGGTCTCACGAGAGCGCTGCTGCTGCTGGGGTCCCCCCTGCACAGTACCGCCTCGACCAGCTCCACCTCCGCCGCTGCCGCCTCCGCCGCCTCCACCCCAACCGCCACCGCCACCGCCGCCTCCACCTCCACCGCTGCCACCGAAGCCCCCACCTCTGCCACCACCCCCACCCCCACCCCCTCCTCCGCCTCCACCGCCACTACCTCCTCCCCTGCCACCTCCTCCAGCGCCCTTGCCCCGCTTGCCCTTGGCGTTGCGGCGCCTCTCACTAGGAGCAGACGCAGCGCTGACCGACTCGGTGCCAACAAGGTCGACAGCAGCAGCAGAGGCAACGGAGGGCAAAAGAGGAACGGGGGAGCACCCCTCAAAGAAAGGGGTACGGGGGTCACCACGAGAGGCTCCTACAGCGGTAATACTAGTTTCTGATGCAAGGAGGCGCTCCTCGAGGAGGTCAACGGTGAGTGTGGTAGGGCAAAGAGAGAGGAAGTGGTCCCTGACCGAGCGAAGAGTGTCAGGGAGTCGGGTGACTAGGTAGTAGAGGGTGATGTACATGGGGGGGGGGTTCTGGGCGCAGAACTCAGCAGGAAGCGCAGCGCGGTAGCGAGTGTCACTAGTGCGGAGGTGCGTAATGAGGTCAGTGACTGTGGCAAAAGCGGCGAGGTCAGGGAACAGGTACGGTAGCATGAGGCGGCTAAGCGCAGCAGTGGCAGGGGAAGAGTAGCGTGCAACTACAGCGTCGTACAGAGTCTTAGCACTCTTGTACTGACTAAAGTGCGCGCGCTCAGTAGACGGTAGGTGACTACGCACAGCAAGGCGGGCAGCAGCATCGCGCGTGAGCCACTGCGAGCGAACAGTACTGTCAGCATCAGCAGCAGGGGCAGTAGAGGCGCCAGACGTGAGATCAAACAGTGAGAGACCATCCTTGCTATCGCACTGTAGGAAAAGCTGCAGATCATCTAGCCAGACATCGAAGTCAACCGCTCGACCCTCAGCATCAAAGGTAAGAACACTGGGACTAGCCATGACAGTAGCAGCAGCAGCGCGACTCGGCTACGCGGCGCGGCTAGGCAGGGCAGCACGACTCGGCAGGGCTGGCCGGCTCGGCGGTGCTCTTACCAGGGGCGGGGCCGGGGCAGGGCTGCAACAGGTCCGGGGCAGGGCTGTGACAGGTCCGGGGCAGGGCCGGGGGAGGGCTGCGACAGGTCCGGGGCAGGGCCGGGGTAGAGCCGGGGCAGAGCCGGGGCAGGGTAAGGGCAGGGTCGGGGCAGGGCCGGGGCAGGGCCGGGGCAGGGCCGGGGTAGGGCCGGAGCAGGGCCGGGACAGGGCCGGGGCAGAGCCGCGACAGGGCCGCAACAGAGCCGGGTCTGGGCCGCGACAGGTCCGGGACAGGGCCGCGACAGGGTCGGGGCAGGGCCGGGGCAGGCCCGCGACAGGTCCGGGACAGGGCCGCGACGGGGCCGGGGCAGAGCCGGGGCAGGGCCGGGGTCGGGCCGTGACAGGACCGCGACGAGCGACGGGGCAGGGCCAGGGCGGGGCCGCGACGAGGTCGCAACGGGCGACGGGGCAGGGCCGGGGCCGCGCCGCCATAGGGCCACGACGGGGCGGCTTCGGGCGACGGGGCAGGGCCTGGGCGGGGTCGCAACGGGGCCTCGAAGGGGGCCGCTAATGGGCCGCAAAGGGGCCGCGTAGGGCAGGACAGGCCGCTAAGGGGCCGCAAAAATCGAGGGCAGGGCAGAGCGCGAAGCGCGCTTCGGGCAGTTAGGAAAAAAAAAAAAATTTAACGGTGGGCCCTTAGGAAGGAACGGTCCCACTAGGGAACCCGCTCTCTACCATGTGAAGAAATGAGAATGATTGACTAGGAAATGAGTTGGGTACAAATATGAAACCCTAGGGAACTGTACCCCATAGTGTCTACCCCACTACAGCCTACACAGGCTATGTGATTAATGTTTGACAAGATTGTGTTGGAAACAAGTAATTTAACGCTTCTGAAGTAGTCGAAGTATCGACACGAAACGGAGCAAACTACAGCGAAACAACATGCGAGTAAACAACCGTAACAGCTGGGGGTTACGCGAAGGTCAAAGGTCACTGACCTTTGACTCGACGAAAAATACAGCGCGACAGCAAGGACACATAACTTTCTCGATATTGAGCAGTTACCCGAGTCGTCACTGTATCGAACCGCAACAGCAAAAACAGTTAAAGTAAAACCTTTCATATTCCTTTGTAATCATATAAAAGCTTTGTATCAGGGCCTATTTTATCAGTGTAAATTACACTGCTATACTGATGAGAAGGGTGAAATTTAGGGCCTACACTAATGTGTTTGGGTTTTTTTTTTTTGGATTAGTGTTACACTGATTTGACAGTGAAACGATTTAGGCCAATATTACCCTTAAGGGCGTACAGGGCACCCCCCCCCCCCTCGAAACTCTACTTATCGAGACGAAGTTTCCTAGAATTTTCGTAACGATACACTCAATTTCGTAATGATGCACTACGACGCCAGCACATGAGCACTGACAACGGACACCGCGTCACTCCATGTCTACTTGCAACCTACTGTAGAGGCGATGCAACCTGATTGGTCAAATCTACACTCACTGCAAAAAAAAAATAACTTTCTTGACTCGGAAATTTGGGACTCGAGGTCCCCAAACCCACGTTCCTCCCGGGAAGCTTGCTGACTCGGCGAAAAAACAAGTGTTGCAGCGAAACCAGGCAAGCCACTGCGCTCAACTTTTGAGTTCACAACCACCACCCACCAGCACCCAATACTTGAGCTGCCTACATTACAATTTGGGTAAAAAATATACCTACACTGATGCCTCTGGGTAAAGTTTTCAAAATTTCAAGTTACACTGATCCATCAGTGTTTCCAAAAAGAGCACACTGCTCAGAAGGGTTTTGAAAAAGGCTACACTGCTAATCGCGAGTAGCCAAAAACCAAACATAGGCCTTGCTTTGTATCCCTCTGCTATTATTAACTTATCTTGTTCTCACACACCAGTGCAAGGTGGTTCAGTCAACTTTGTTATTACGCTTCCGCAAACTACAACATTCCTACTCAAGAGATCTTAGCCTTGAAAATTTTCCTAAGGGCTAATTCTCAGCCCAACATGGTATGAGAGCCTCCAAGGCAAGATCGATTCACCAAACTCCTACGACAACACAAGGCATGGCAACACAGAAAGAGAGGAGCTCCTCCAACGGATCTCCCGGCACTACTCCTGTTATAATAGTAGGTGAAACGAGGCTTAGGAGAAACCATAGCCAAGGAGAATGTCGAGAGGAAAAGTTGAGAAGGAATGATGATTCAGTAAGAGAAGTACAAGATATAGGAGCGAGAGATGGCAAAGGGTGCACCACCTACAGGAACTATAACAGTAACTACACTAGAGCTATAACTATATGCAGTTATACAGCAATATATATAAAATATATTCCGACACACCCCCTAACTGCATGCAGGAATAGCCATGTGCAGAACACCCCCTGAAGGGGTACACCCTGCGCAGCGGAAGAAGGAGAGGGCAAATGAGGAGGAGGCGGCTGATGCTGCAGCTGGACTCACAGCACCCCCTCAACCTCCCCCCGCACAGCAGTAGCAGCAGCAGTGAGGAGAGAGAGGAGGCGTGGCGGCAGTTGCTGCAGCTGTGTCACCCACCACCCACATCCCCTGAGCCTCCCCACCACTTCACACTTCCCCCCACAATAGCAGGTGCGGCTGTGAGAGAGAGGAGGCAGGTTGGCGTTGTAGGTGCAACCTCCCCCTCACACCCTCCCCTCCCCTCCCCACCCACCCAAATTGCTGCACGTGCAGCAGGGAGGGAGGAGAAGGGGGGGGGGGAGGGGGGGAGGGGCTGTGCATGGGGCTGCAGATGCGCGTGCAGAGGGCAGCTGGGCGCACAGGGCGCACAGGGCAGCAGGGCAGCAGGGCGCGCGGGGTGCACAGGGCTGCAGGGCGCGCGGGGCGCGCAGGACAGCAGGGCGCGCGGGGCGCACAGGGCAGCAGGGCAGCAGGGTGCGCAGGGCGCACAGGGCGCGCGGAGCGCGCAGGACAGCAGGGCGCGCGTGGCGCGCAGGGCTGCAGGAAGGGCTGTAGCGGCAACAGCAAGGGCTGTAGCTGCAGCAGCAAGGGCTGTAGCGGCAACAGCAAGGGCTGTAGCGGCCGCAGCAAGGGCTGTAGCGGCAGCAGCAGGGGCTGTAGCGGCAGCAGCAAGGGCTGTAGCGGCAGCAGCAAGGGCTGTAGCGGCAACAGCAAGGGCTGTAGCGGCCGCAGCAAGGGCTGTAGCGGCAGCAGCAGGGGCTGTAGCGGCAGCAGCAAGGGCTGTAGCGGCAGCAGCAAGGGCTGTAGCGGCAACAGCAAGGGCTGTAGCGGCAGCAGCAAGGGCTGTAGCGGCAGCAGCAGGGGCTGTAGCGGCAGCAGCAAGGGCTGTAGCGGCAACAGCAAGAGCTGTAGCGGCAACAGCAAGGGCTGTAGCGGCCGCAGCAAGGGCTGTAGTGGCAGCAGCAAGGGCTGTAGCGGCAACAGCAAGGGCTGTAGCGGCAACAGCAAGGGCTGTAGCTGCAGCAGCAAGGGCTGTAGCGGCAACAGCAAGGGCTGTAACGGCAGCAGCAGGGGCTGTAGCGGCAGCAGCAAGGGCTGTAGCGGCATCAGCAAGGGCTGTAGCGGCAACAGCAAGGGCTGGAGCGGCCGCAGCAAGGGCAATAGCGGCAGCAGCAGGGCGCACAGGGCAGCAGGGCAGCAGGGCGCACAGGGCTGCAGGGCAGCAGGGTGCGCGGGGCGAACAGGGCAGCAGGGCGCACAGGGCTGCAGGGCAGCAGGGCGCACAGGGCTGCAGGGCAGCAGGGCGCGCGGGGCGCGCAGGGCTGCAGGGCGCGCAGGGCAGCAGGACAGCAGGGCGCGCGGGGCGCACAGGGCTGCAGGGCGCGCGGGGCGCACAGGGCAGCAGGGCAGCAGGGCGCGCGGGGCGCAGCAGGGCTGCAGGGCGCGCGGGGCGCACAGGGCAGCAGGGCGCACAGGGCTGCAGGGCAGCAGAGCGCGCAGGGCAGCAGGACAGCAGGGCGCGCGGGGCGCGCAGGGCTGCAGGGCGCGCGGGGCGCACAGGGCAGCAGGGCAGCAGGGCGCGCGGGGCGCAGCAGGGCTGCAGGGCGCGCAGGGCTGCAGGGCAGCAGGGCGCACAGGGCTGCAGATCCCCTCCCCCCAACCGCTGCACCCGCAGCAGGGGGATGGAGGAGAAGTGGGGGGGGCTGGGGGGGGTTGGTGCTGCAGATCCCCTCCGCCCAGGGAGAGAGAGAGGAGAAGGGGGGACGGGGGGGGGAGGGCTGATGCTGCAAATCCCCTCCCCCCCACTGCTGCTCCACTATCCGTCACCCCCCAGGGATGAAGGAGAAGGGGGGGGGCGGGGGGGGTTGGTGCTGCAGATCCCCTCCCCCCCACTGCTGCACCCGCAGTAGGGGGACGTAGGAGAAGGGGGGGGGGCGGGGGGGGCTGGTGCTGCAGATCCCCTCCCCCCCACTGCTGCTCCACAATCCTTCACCCCCCAGGGATGGAGGAGAAAGGGGGGGTGGGGGGGGCTGGTGCTGCAGATCCCCTCCTGCCTCCCCCTGAACCTCCAAGCTCCCCCCCCCCCTCCCAACACAAGGTGCGGCAGGGAGAGAGAGAGGAGGAGGCGTGGCGGCAGCTGCTGCTGCTGAGGCACATCCGCCACCCCCTCACACCCTCTCCCCCCCGTCCCCATGGAGGGGGGGGAGGGGGGGGAGGGGGGCGGGGGCGGAGCTGCGCGTGCGACTGCAGGGCACGCGGGCAGGAAGAAACCGACACCCCTCTTGCCACCCCCTTACCCTCCATGATGCGACGGGGCACCGGGGCCGCGGCTAGGGGCGACAGGTCGCGAGGGGCTGAGGCTAGAGGCGACGGGGCCGCGGTTAGGGGCGGCAGGTCGCGAGGGGCCGTAGCTAGTGGCGACGGGGCGACGGGTCGACGAGGGCCGCGGCTAGGGGCGACGGGGCCAGGGGGCCGAGGCGACGGGGCCTAGGGTCGCGAGGGGCCGCAGCTGGGGGCGACGGGGCCTAGGGGCCGCGGCTAGGGGTGACCTGTCCAAGGGGCCGAGGCGACGGGGGGACGGGCTTAGGGTCGTGAGGGGCCGCAGTTGGGGGCGACGGGGCCTGGGGGCTGCGGCTAGGGGCGACGGAGCACCGGGGCCGAGGCTAGGGCGACGGGGCGACTGGGCGACAGGGCCTAGGGGCGGAGGGGCCTGGGTCGCTGGTCGCGGGTCTTGGGTCGCGGGTCGCTGGTCGCGGGTAGGGGCGATGGGTGACAGGGCGCCAGGGGGTCGCGAGGCTAGGGGTGACGGGTTGACTGGCCGCGGGGCCGGGACCTACGCTAGGAGCAACGGGGCCGCGGGGCCAGGTACGAAGGGGCCGGGGGGGCGTGAGCGACGGGGCCTAGGGGCCGAGAACGACGGGACCGCGGGGCCTAGGACCTAGGTGCGACGGGGCCGCGGGGCCAGGTACGAAGGGGCCGGGGGCCGTGAGTGACTGGGCCTAGGGGCCGAGAACGACGGGGCCACGGGGCCAGGTACGAAAGGGCCCGGGGCCGTGAGCGACGGGGCCTAGGGGCCGGGAACGACGGGGCCGCGAGGCCGGAGGCCTAGGTGCGACGGGGCCGCGGGGCCAGAACGAAAGGCCGCGGGGCCAGAAACGAAAGGTCGCAGGGCCAAGGGGCCGGGATCGATGGGCCTAGGGGCCTGGAACGACGGGCCGCGGGCGCCGGGCCTAGGGGCGACGGGCCTAGGGGCGCGAGTGACTGGCCTAGGGGCGACGGGCCGAGGCCTAAGCTCAGGAGTAAAGCAGCAGGTGGTGGGCCCAAGGAACCTACTCTGATTCCATGTTAGAATAGTAGGTGAAACGAGGCTTAGGAGAAACCATAGCCAAGGAGAATGTCGAGAGGAAAAGTTGAGAAGGAAAGATGACTCACTAAAAGAAGAAAGTACAAGATATAGGAGCGAGAGATGGCAAAGGGTGCACCATCTACACGAACTATAACAGTAACTACACTACAGCTATAACTATATGTAGTTATACAGCAATATATATAAAATATATTCTGACAAGTCCTACTCCACCTCCAGCCTCAGGCCTACAGACAGAGGAAGGCACAGCAACAAGACCAGCTGCGGAGTCGACCGAAACTCCCGGGAATCAAGCAGCAGGCTTCGACCCAAGCATGATGGAGAAATTCTTCTCCTTCATGTCCTTCTACGAGCAACACCAGCAAGCAGCTCCTGCGTAATCAAACAACAGCGACAACAACAACAGGGTTACTCCAATGAGCCTTGACGGTTCATCCTATGCGCGCGGAAATCAACAACAACCTACCTTTGCTCTGTACGAACCTCAACGTGGCTCCATCAGCTTCGCGCCACACAAACAGTCTTCACCTGGACAAGAGAAGACATTGGACGCGCTTCATGTTCAATCACAATTCGCATATGTTTTAAAACTGCAGACATCAACACCCTTCGACGGAAAAGACTTCTATACCTGGTCATTCGAGTTCGAGCTGATGATGGAGGGCGCGCAAATACTTTGATTCTTCGACGGGTCCCTGCCATACCCAGCGCAAGGGACACAATACGACAAGCAGCAGTATACATATCAATCGTTGATGGCGTACACGATACTTCTTCGAAATATAACCCCAAACGAGCAGCAGAACATCCGGTCTTATCGAGGATACGGCAACTCCGCCGAGCTGGCGTACGACCACCTGAAGAACCTGTATCAAGCAACAGACAGCGTTAATCAAAGTCGTCTCATGGCACAGCTAACAACAGTGGAAATGAAACCCGGCAATAAGGGAATGGCGTATATCAGCCGTTGTCGTGGACTGCGCGACAGACTCCTTCGATGCGGAGGATCGATATCCAAAGAAGCCTTCGTAACAGTTATCATCGCTTGCCTCGGTCCTCATTGGCGCTCCACCCGAGCACTCCTCCGAGCTCACGGGAAAATCTCCGAAGCAGCACTCTGCGCCGAAATTCACGCCGAACAGCAGGATATGGACCTACACGAAGAACAACACAAGAAGAGAGCATCAGCACCAGAATTCGCGTTTCACACTCAACGGCACTACAACAACAACAACAATCGACAAAACAACCGACAAGTTCAACAGTACGTCCCACTGTTCTGTCACCTCTGCAAGACGTCCGGACATCCTCGCACACACTGCCCGAATCAGCAGCAGTCAACGTCGCCGCAAAGTCAACTTCGACCCTCAAGCATTCAAGTAGCTTCTACACAGGCGCATCCCACCAATCAAGTACAGTCTTCAACGTCATCAACAACAAAACCTGCGCAAGGCACAAGAAATGTCGTAAGCTGTATGACAAGAATGACAGACTCCTGCATCACCGGATCACCACCCTACTATTCACCAGAAGAACAGCTCGACGAGAGCACTCCTCGCCGCGAATCACTGGAGCCCAACCCGACGTATGCAGCCATCGCCCAGAGTGAGCCGTCCGGGAAAGACACTTGGTTCTTGGACAGCTACTGCGGACAGCACATGTGCTCCTCGGGTCGCTTCGTTCAACAAGAACACCAACTTCAGTGCGAAGTTGTAATCACCGTCGCCAACAACCAGAACCTGCACACACGACGACAAGGGATCGTGCAACTTCAGTCTCGAGAAACTAACGTTATTCTACAAATGTCAAAGGTTTTAATTGCAGAAGGACTCGGCTACAACTTACTCAGCGTCAGTCAATTGATGGCAGAAGGCATTCACCTCGAAGCAGATAGCACCACTCAGGGCGGACTCTACATTGGCAAGGCAGTCTTGAAGAATAACGTCTTCGTTCTTGACTTCGTTCGAGACCAAGGTACCGCCGACAGCGACGCCATCGTCAACTTCGCCTCTTGGACACATCCAGCACATCTCGACCCTGACTTCAGTCCTGGAGGATTTTGGTATTCACATACCATACTTGAAGCAGAAAGAACAAGGGCATTAGCAACGATTCGACAAGAAGAGACAACATCGGCAGCAGCACAGACAACATCGGTAGCAGCAGTAACACCTACGCCACCAATCGCGGGCTCTTCGACAGCACCAGTTCTCATCGACGACACTCCACCGACTCCTGCGCAGCAATTAACTCCCACTCCATGCGAAGTTCAAAGAAGCGCCAACCTCACCGCGGGATTTTATTCCAACTCCGACCTGTACAGGCGCTCACCAGGACATCGTGCAAGCGAATCACTGTGGCACGAACGATTAGGTCATCCAAGCAACACAACGTTCAACAACACAATCAAGGCAGCTGTACTCGACAAAGATTCCTTACTTCTACCCGACGGCAGAGAACTCCAACGAGTCCGAGGCACATGCTTTACTTGCCTCGAAGATGACTTACCTCATCAACCGTTTGTCTCTCACCACAATCCAAGCGCGCCAGCTTACGCACCACTGGAGAAAGTCTACAGCGACATCCTGTATACTCGCGAACAAGGTCAAGGAGCATACAACTATGTGATTACTTTCATCGACGCCGCCACCCGATACGTCTGGCATCTCAACCTTCCAAGTCGCGACATGGCCTTCGAAGCCTTCGTCGCCTGGCTACCTGTGGCAGAACAAGAATCAAGAGCAAAGCTGAAAAGCTTCCAGTCAGACGGGGGAGGAGAATATCAGTCATAAAGGTTCAAGCAGTACCTCGCAGAAGGAGGCATCAAGCGACTCATCTCGCTTCCCTACGCCCATCAACAGCAAGGCGTGGCAGAACGGATGAACAAAACTCTCCATAAGACCATGTGCAAACTGTTGCGTGGCATGCGACTGCCCAACCACCAGTGGCCTGAGGCGATGGACCACGCTGTCATGCTGCACAACTTGCTCTCGTCATCATCGCTCCCGAACAATGCATCACCGCACCTGCTATGGACAGGAAAACTGGGCAACACAAAAATGTTACGAGTTTTTGGGTGCATGGTACAGTACCGACCGCACACTGCAAGAGCCTGAAGATTTTCCCAACGCTCACAGTGGGGGCTACCTCTGGGCATCAAAAAGCATTACAATGCATGGAAGATTTTCGACGTCCACTCGAAGGAAACAGTAGCAGCACGTGATGTCATTTTCTACGAGCGACTCACACTTCAAACGTACCTGGACAACCTGGCAGCAAATCGAGACCTCACGGGCGGCTTCCGTGGCAACCGAGCTTTTGCTTCAGCAGTAGACAAAGCTGACTGAGACGAGCAGAACTTGGACGGAGCTTCGGAGGAAGCCGGACCTCTTCCGTATTGCTGAGTGGACATCCCCATGGACGACGACAACCTTCGCGAAAGTGTCAACGCCGAAACCTACTTCGACTTCGCCGACAACGGTTATGTTACACCCCAACCGGTCGACACCAACGTTTCCGAACGCATGGGACCCAACTTCCTCCCAGATCCAGAAGCGGGCGATGAAGCAGCTTATCCCGAGGACGCAAATCTCCCCCGCTACACACAGAGTGGACTGCAGATACTGGGACTCGTCACCGCTGTCCACGGAGCAGCACCACCTAAGGAGCCTGCCACCATTCAGCAGGCTCTGGGGGGGGAACACAGGGAAAAATGGCGCGAAGCCATGGACAGAGAATTAAAGGCGTTGCAAGAACGCAACACCTGAAAAGTCGTGCCTATCGGAGTGGCACGCAACAAGACCCTTCTCGTGGGAAAATGGGTTTTCCGCGTGAAAACAAAAGTCGACGGAACGATAGACAAATTCAAGGCACGCTGGGTCGTGCGCGGCTTCGACCAAGAGCATGGACGAGAGTTCATGGAAACATTCGCAGCAGTTAGCCGACATACCTCACTGCGGATTCTCCTCGCGATAGCCGCCATGAACCGGAAGAAACTTCGACAAATTGATGTTGCCAACGCATTCCTCTACGCCAACGTCAATGCTGAGATCTTCGTTGAACACCCACACGGGTCTAATGCAGACCCCAAGCAAGTCTGTCAGCTGGAAAAATCGTTTACGGCATCAAACAAGCCCCGAGATTGTGGCAGCAGCATCTTCACGCCCGTCTAATCCGCATCGGATTCTGCCAACTACCGCATGACCAAGGGATGTACCGACTCACAAAGGGAACCAACTACATCCTGCTCATCGTCTACGTAGACGACCTCCTCTACATAGGCTCCACCGACGACATAACGACCTGGTTTGAAGGGGAGCTGCATCAGGATCTGACACTCACCGTCGCGACTACCATGACACAGTATCTGGGACTCAACATACAAGACGGCGACAACGCAATCTACCTCAGCGCAGAAAAATACAAAGACACCATCACCAAACTATTCGGACTAACTCCAGCCGCCATTACCACGCCATACCGCTACACAGACGGAAGTCACAACAAATCCTCCGCCCTACTCAAACCCGCCGGCATTCGCGACTACTAACGAAAGCTAGGCTGTCTACTCTTCGCAGCCGTTATCTGTCGACCGGACCTATCTTACTCAGCTAGTCAACTCGCCACCTACCTCAAGAAGCCTGAAGCAGAACACATGATGGAGCTCGACCGTGCACTTCACTACCTCGTCAGCACCCCGACAATCGGACTAACCTACCACAAGACCGTAACTACGACACCTAAGTTAATAGGCTACGTCGACGCCGATCACGCTGGAGACTCTGACAACAGACGATCTCGTACTGGCTACATCTACCGACTCGAACCTATCGGCCCTATCTCATGGCAGTCGAACAAGCAAGAGCTAATCGCTCTCTCCTCAGCCGAAGCAGAATACATTGCACTCTGCTCAGCCACCAAGGAAGGACCATATCTTCACGAATTGCTGGAAGAAGCAAAATTGGCTCAGTTACCCAGCTTCTCCCTCTTCTGCGACAACCAATCGGCCATTTGCATAGCGAACAAAAATGGGTTCGCAAATCGAACGAAGCACATCGCCCTCCGGTACTTCTTCGTAAAAGACAAAATCGAGAAGGGAATACTCGATTTATCCTACTGTCCCACATCCGAGATGGCAGCCGATTACTTGACCAAGAAACTCGGAAAACAGAAGTTCGAGTACTGCATGCTGCTGACTGGACAAGGACATGTCATCAGCAGCGACACTCCAGAAGCGAAGGGGTGTGTTGGAAACAAGTAATTTAACGCTTCTGAAGTAATCGAAGTATCGACACAAAACGGAGCAAACTACAGCGAAACAACACACGAGTCAACAACCGTAACAGCTAGAGGTTACGCGAAGGTCAAAGGTCGCTGACCTTTGACTCGACGAAAAATACAGCGCGACAGCAAGGACACATAACTGACTCGATATTGAGCAGTTACCCGAGTCGTCACTGTATCGAACCGCAACAGCAAAAACAGTTCAAGTAAAACCTTTCATATTCCTTTCTAATCATATAAATGCTTTGTATCCCTCTGCTATTATTAACTTATCTTGTTCTCACACACCAGTGCAAGGTGGTTCAGTCAACTTTGTTATTACGCCTCCGCAAACTACAACATTCCTACTCAAGAGATCTTAGCCTTGAAAAAGGTCCTAAGGGCTAATTCTCAGCCCAACAGATTGAAGTAAACATTCCCAAAAATACAAACTCACACTCCCCTAACAACCACTCCAGCACGAAGCAACTCCCGGCGAGCCCTTTCAGAGACCTTACTTGCCTCCGCCTTCAAATACCGCAGCCTTGGCACGTTCCCCAGCAGCCCGCCAATGCCCCCTGCAGTGACTCCACCGCACCCCACCGCAGTCAACCGAGTCAACACCTCCAGTTTACTCCCTGTAATCACCCCGTCTGAGAACCCGTCACTGCCTTCCACCCGCAGTTCCTCCAGCATGCCACATGCACGCAGCAGCCTCACCAGCAGTGTCTCCGCCAGCCCAGAGCAGCTCACGAGAGCCAAGCTCTTGAGCCTTCCAAACACAGCGGTTCATGTGAGAGATTCAAAAGGACTGTGGCTCGTTCCTCAGGATTGAGACAACATAGGGGGAGGAGGAGGGCAATGAAAGGAGGGGTGTGGCTGGGGGCGAGGGGTACATGAGGGGTGAGGCGGAGGGAAGGGCAGAGGGCAGCCAGGAAGGGTCACACGTGGAGGCGAAGCGAATGCTCTCAAGGGTTAGGGCCTCCAGTGGAGGGAAAAACACTTGCACAGGTGTCACGAGTGTGTTTATATTTGGGGGTGTGCTTTTTTCGGGTGGTGTGCTCTTGTGGGGGGGCGAGTGAGTTGACACTCTGCTCCCCAGCTGCTCGTCTCCTCCTGGACCTCCTCCCGCCTCTGCTCCTGGCAGCTGCTGTAACGCTCGTGCTCTTCTCGCACCCTCTCCCACTCTCCCTCCTGCATCTCCTTCTGCGCTTGTTGGCCCCTGTGATACTGCCTCTTCTGCTCTTACCCCTTCTGCTGCCACCGTTCCTGCGCCTTCCAACGTTGCTGCATCTGTTGCTGCCGGCCCAGGGCCTGCTGGCGCAGCCCCAGGCAGTGGCGCAGCCCCAGGCACTGTTGGCGGGGCGCCAGGCGGAGCCCCACAAGCGACGGCCTCCATGCGCGCCACCAGCTGCTGAGTGAGCGCCTGCAGCAGCCCACGTGCCTCTCTTTGTGACACCGCCACAAACGCCGGCCATCCACCCGTCTCCTCCCCCAGCAGCGTCTCGCTCACCTCCGCCAGATCAGCCGGAAGGTCGCTCTCTGGGCTGAACCCTACCAGCTCCTCCACCTCCCTCCCTCCTCCCCTTTGCCCCCCTCTCTCCTGGTGCCCCTCCGGTTCCATTTCTTCATCCAGAGGAGCAGTGAAGAGCCCTGCAGCCTGGGCAGCGGTGCAGGCCTCCACCAGTGCCTCCTCGCGTGCAATCCGGGCGTTCACCTCGTTCACTGACAGCCGCACGCACAGGCACAGCGAGATGGCCGCGCGGACCTGAATGATGGCATTCCTAATGCTCGAAAGGGCGAACTCGCCTCGCATGTGCCGAGCCCGCATGACTTGCGATATGACTTTCTGGAGCCTCCACTCACATGTGCCCATGAGGGCCCTCCAGTCGTCGATTGCGGCCACCATGTCAGCACGTGCTGCTGCTGCTTCCATACGGAAATCCAGGTACGTTGGGCTCATGTGGCCCCTGATTCCTGTCTCTGATTCTACCAGCGTGGTAGCTGCTGGGAGGGCTGCTGCGTCATGGGCTGTCATTGCTGCTTCACCATCGTCTGCTGCTGCTGCTGCTGCTGCTGCTCCTCCTCCCTCACCGTTCCCCACAACCATCTCCACTTGGCGTCTCCCTACTCGATCGTCCCCTGCCACCATTCCCGCACTGCCTCCCCACTGTTCCACGCGCACCAGCATGGCCACAAGGCACTCCAAAGACGGCTTCTGCGGCGCCTCAGAGGGCATAACACTCTCCCTCGCCTCCCCCAATCCTTTCACCGTGAGACGCTTCAGGCTGCTGCAGAGTCCAAGCATGCCCGGGCGGTACGAGGGCAGGCCGGAGAGATTAAGGGTGTGGAGGCGGGAGGAGGAAGTGCGGAGAAGGGTAAGAAGGCCTTGGGCAGCGAACAGAGGGTAGGAGGTGGAGTAGAGAGAGAGGGAGGAGAGAGCTGGGTTGGTTTGAGCGAGGGCGGCGAGGGAGTGGCTGGAGACCAAGGGACAGCTGAGGAGGGCGAGGTGGGTGAGCGTGTGGAGGGAGCGAGAGAGGGCGTGAAGCTCGCAGGGATCGATGGTGCAGGAGAGGAAGGAGAGAGAGGTGAGGCGAGGGAAGGAGGCGAGAGGCGAGAGGGCGGCTTCGAGGCGAGCAGAGTGGATGGTGAGGGAGGCGAGGGAGAGGCGGAGAGGGGAGGAGGGGGAGGCGAGGGAGTAGAGAGCGAAGGCGTTGGGGCCCCAGAGGGTGAGCGAGGTGAGGGAGGGGCAGCGGGAGATGAAGCGGTAGTGCGAGGGCTCGTATAGGAGGGTGAGTGAGCGCAGTGAAGGGAAGGCGTCCACTGGGGGAGGCGGAGGGTCGTTGAAGACGGAGTGGCGCTCGAGTGGCGAGTCGAGCTCCAGTGACGTCACCAGGCTGACGGGAGGGAGGGGAGGGGGAAGGAGAGGTGGAGGGGGGGGGGAAATGGGGTGAGGGTGGTGGGTGTGAAGACTGGAAATGAAGGAAACATGAAGGATGCAGAAGGAGGGTGAGGAAGCGAGGGTGTAACGCCGGTGGGCTTTGTTAAGGGCATTCCGCTGCGCCTAAATAACACCCTCGTTTTGACCCAATGGGTAGCGAGGCATTACACAATTGACCTCGCCTATTCCACGTCCGTGTCACGGTTCACGCCCAGGCCGAACAAAGCGCTTTCCCGAGCTTGTATCCTTACCACTTTATTCCGTCTCTTCGCCGCTTCGCAGCTCACGCGTCATCTCTCCCGTCTGTCTCTCTCTCCTACGCCCTTCACCCCTTCCTCACCCCTCGCTTTCCATGCCTCGCCTATTCCACTTTATTCCATTGACCAGCGATCGCGCGGATGGTCGACACGCGCGAGAACAGGCTGGAGAAGCTCGTCGGGGAGCGACAGCAGGCGAGAGCTTTCGCGACCGCGCGCACTTTTCATCGTTGACTGTATCATTAACGCGTGAACAGAAAAAAAATCTGCTGGGACTGGTAGAATAAGGGATGGACAACTAACAGAGGACACAATAACAACCATTCATCTGTTCCGTTATCTGCTGTCAAGCTTCTGCGCATGCGTTGATGGTGCAAGAGCTGTGCCTTGCTGCTGGGGTGGGTGGGTGGGTGGCTCGCTGGTTGACGCGAACTCGTATGAGCGAAACTGTTTCTACTGAGGGGAAGGGATTTCGCGTCTAGTGTGCCCATAAGGAACGTATGAGTGCCAATGGTCCAACAAGCGCGATCGCGACATAATCGAGTTAGCTAGTAACCACAACTTCTGCTGCTGCCACCACAAGCAGCCCCACTCTGAAGGAATTCGGTGTCGCCAATGCTTTCGTCATCGGCGCACAAATCACATGGGACATGCTGAAGTGTGGCCTTGCAAAAAAAGGACTGTGGATGCAAAAAGTGATGCGATGTGATGCAAGCGAGCCTGGACTTACAAATCGCGATTCGTGGAAAAAATCCGTTAGTAAGAATGTTCTTTTACGTTACTTGCTTGTGATAAAGTCGCAGGGTACATTCTTGGATCTACACAAATATCCCAATCCTTTTGACATCCAAAATCAGCATATACTGTATCGTGTAACAATCGCGCGTCGCCTTAATGCGAATTTTACTGTATTTTACATTGGTTAGCATTGAACGCGCTATAGTCGCAGACGAGTTCCACGTGTCAGAGGTCCACTGGTGATCCCCGATTGATCCTAGGGAAGGGTTACAGGCATGTTGGCTTGGGGGGTTATGGGCGCACTGACCCGCTACTTAACAAGCCCTTTCATCCCAATGGTCTAGTGGTTGGGATTTTGACATGGTATCAGAGCGAAGCTCTCGGGTTCGAATCCCAGTGTGTACATTTCGGGCATCCCATACGGGGGGGTGTCAGAGATCCACTGGTGATCCCCGATTGATCCTAGCGAAGGGTTACAGGCATGTTGGCCTGGGGGGTTATGGGCGCACTGACCCGCTACTTAACAAGTCATTTTATCCCAATGATCTAGTGGTTGGGATTCTGACAGCACGACGCCTCGTCACATCCAACCCTTCGTACGCGTGTTGAGATGTCAAGGTCTCGGCCGACTCGACTGCATGCACCTGGACACCCCACGAAGTGCCAGATTCGAGTTGGAAAAGAATGTCAAACTATATGTTTGTGTTCTCTCTAGGCTATAATGGGTTAGCCTACAAGGGGTACAACACTTTTGGGTTAGTACTTGAACCCAACTCATTCATAGTTCATTCATCCCTACACAGTGATTCTGACATGGTATTCAGAGCAGGAAACCTGTTAAGTTTTTAGGGCCCACCGATAGTTCCGCTCGTTCCTGCCTGAAGCGCCCTTGCGCTGTCCGGCCCTACTCGCACAGTGTCGCGCTGCCCTGCAGCTACTCACACTGCCTGCCCCCCGCACGTCGCGCCCTGCTGCAGCTTGCGAGTCGCGCCCTGCTGCCCTGCCCAGCGTGCGCCACCCTGCCCTGCAGCCCGCGCCCATCTGCCCTGCAGCCCGTGCATCGCGCTGCCCTGCCATTAGGCCCGCGCGCCGCCCTGCCCTGCAGCTCGTGAGCCGCACCGCCCTGCCCTGCAGCCCAGCGTGTCGCGCCCTGCTGCCCTGTCCAGCGCGTGCTCCACTGTCCTGCGCGTCGCGCCCTGCTGCACCCCACGCATCGCGCCCTACTGCCCCGCGCGTCGTGCCCTCCTGCAGCCCGCGCATCGCGCTCTGCTGCTCGGCGCGTCGCACTCTGCTGCAGCCCGCACGTCGCGCCCTGCTGCCCTGCGCGTCACGCCCTGCTGCAGCCCGCGCGACGCGCTCTGCTGCTCCGCGCGTCTCACCCTACTGCAGCCCGCGCGTCGCGCTCTGCCGCCCCGCGCGTCGCGCTCTGCCGCCCCGCGCGTCGCGCTCTGCCGCCCCGCGCGTCGCGCTCTGCTGCCCTGCGCGTCGCGCCCTGTTGCCCTGCACAGCACGCGCCCTGCTGCCCTGTCCACCGCGCGCCCTGCCCTGTAGCCCGCAGCGCGCCCTGCCTTGCCCAGCCGTGCCGCCTAGCCCAGCCGAGCCATGCAGCCTAGCCCGATCCACCCTGCCCAAACCGAGCCATGCAGCCCTACCTCGATCACCAGCCCCACTGAGCCGCCCTGCTACTGCTCGTGCTATTGCTGCTGCTGGTGGAGGTGCTGCTGGGAGTGCTGGAGGTGCTGCTGGTGCTGGAGGTGCTGGAGGTGCGACTGGGAGTGCTGGAGGTGCTGCTGGTGCTGGAGGTGCTGGACCTACTACTGACCGTCACTGCGTGTCATGGCCAGTATCACGGCAGTTGCAGCGGCTAGGGGTGGACACCAGCGGTCACTGCCTCTCCCGGACGACCCCACCCCTCAGCAGCTTCGAGAGTGGGTTATTCAGCGAGCCCGTCTAGGTGGTGGAGGCTTTGGTTTTTAGCGTACTGCACAGAGGCGGCAGCAGAGTCAGCAGGAGACCTTCTCCCCGCAGCTGCTTATTGAGTTGGTTTCTCAGCGATGTGTCACTGGTTTTAAAGAGGCTGCTGCTCTAGGTGCTAGTGAGTCTGCTGCCGCACTCGGTGCTAGTGAGTCTGCTGCTGCTCCAGGTGCTAGTGAGTCTGCTGCAGCTTTATGTGCTCATGCGTCTACCGCCACAGGTCCTGCCTCAGCTGAGGCCTTGCACACTTTCACACTTGACTCCAGCGCGTCACGTTGCTTCTTTCGTAACTGCACCACACTCATACCACTTGCTGCACCGGTACCAGTCTCACTGGCTGACCCCACTGGGGGCCCAGTAGTTGCAGGAGCATCCACTGTCCTTCCGTGTCCAGCAGTCCCCTCCGGTTCTCTGTCACGTCTCCAACTCCCCACGTTCTCGATGAACTTTGTGAGAAACACTGCCATTCAGGATGTCTGGGTTGATACCTTTATTCTTGGAGGGCAGCGTGTGGCGATATGTACGTGCTCTCGGACTGGCCGACACTTAGCTACGTTCACTCGACGGCCTGGGTCTAGTCTATACACACTGATCACTGCGTCTACACAGGTGGCTGAGTTAGGTCAGGTGGCAGCGTCGAGTCAGGTGTCTGCGTCTGGTCAGCTTGCAGCGTCTTGCTTGTGTCGGGTACTCTCCCACCAGACTCTCATCTGGCACCACTGCCTCGGTCACCCCTCACTGCCGCCTCTCCGCAGCATGCACTCCCATCTCCTTGTCTCAGGGCTTCCCAGGTCCCTGCCCTCCCTCCCGCGCTCGCCTACACCGCCCTGCCTTCCCTGCGTCGAGGGGCGGCAGCGTGCCGCTCCTCACTCCTCCGAGTTTCCTCCGACCACTGCTCCTCTGCAGACTCTCTACATGAACGTGTGGGGCCCGGCCCCTGACGGTGGAACGGACCAGGAGCGCTACTTCTTGCTGGTTGTTGACGACTACACACGCTACACCACTGTCTTCCCCTTGCGGCGCAAGGCGGACGTGAGCGGTGTTTTGATCCCCTGGATCGGTTCTACTCGTCGCCAGCTGCGCGAGCGGTTTCATCGAGACTTGCCACACTTGCGTCTGCACTCTGACAGGGGCGGTGAGTTCTTTTCCGGCCTCCTTGAGGAGTTCTGTGGAGACGAGGGCATTCGCCAGACGTTCACGCTTCCGGCCTCTCCTCAGCAGAATGGGATTGCTGAGCGTCGCATTGGCTTGATCATGGAGGTTGCTCGTACCTCCATGATCCATGTGGCTGCTCCCTATTTTCTGTGGCCGTTTGCGGTCCGATACGCTGCGCATCAGCTCAACCTCTGGCCCCATGTCTCTGAGCCAGAGACAGGGAAGGTTGGCGATGCGTCAGTGTTTTGGGTCTGGGGCGCGCTCTCCCTTGTTCGCGATGCCAAAACGAGCAAGCTCTCCTCTCGCACTCTCCGCTGCGTCTTCCTTGGCTTCTCCACCGACGCCCTGCCGTGGCAGTTCTACCACCCACGCGAGCGTCGAGTCTTCTCCTCCCAGGACGTCAGCTTTGACGAGTCTGTTTGTTTCTACAGGCTATAAAAGGGCTTGTTTGTGTAGCAGGCTTGTGCGCCCTTAACCCCCCAGGTGAACGCGCCTGTAACCCCCCCCTAGGATCAATCGGGCATCCACAGTGTAGATCTACTGACAGGCATCGGTGACGGCAGTGCTGATTCGCCGATCGGCACTGAAATCGTGACGCGTGGCTGGCTTCTGGCCGCATTCGTCGCTCCAGGGTGTGTCGCCCCGTAGTCGTCGTCTCCGTCGTTGTGGGCGACGCCATCACTAGCCGCGCTCGAGGGTTGCCCCACACTTCCGTGTTGTGATGCCTGACGTGCTCCTTGTCCTTGCATGCCCTGTGTTTGTGAGTGTGCTTGTTGCGCCCGTGCGACGTCGTTTTGCAGTGACGTACGTTCTGCCGTCAGAGCCGCAATTTCTTTGAAATTTTTGTGCTGCTCCTGCTGCAGTTCGTTTAGGCGCTCCTGCATGAGTGTCGTGATGTCGACGTGCTCAGCCATTTCGAAGGACGGCGGCTCGGCTTAGCTCTAGGCGCAGTCGTGGCTGCACGTGTTTACGAGAGAACGCGAGGACATCGACTTCTATGTGCTAAGGGGCGTGAGTCCCTTCGAGTGCAGAAATCAAAAGTTGATTTCTCTGGGTGCGGAGATGCGCGGTCCGAAAGAAAGTGGCTCTGAATACCAAGTGTTACGGGTGCAATGAAACGAGATAGCGGTGTCACTGGGGCTCCTCTGGCCACATTTCCCATGGAGTCGAGCTTTGGATTGTACTCACTGCACATGGGGTCCCACCACACTGGGTCAGGTCAGGTCAGGTCAGGTCAGGTAGCTGCTGTGTCGTGCGATTGTCGATCACTCACCCACCCGTCGGTCCTTGGGCACCACCGCCTAGGTCACCCGTCTTTCCCGCGCCTCAGTAGGATGGTATTTCACCGTCTGGTCTCAGGT